TGTTTGCTAAACTATGGTGGAGGTTTAGGACCACAAAATCTTTGTGGTCTAATTTCATGTAGAATAATTATTGCAAGAAGGAGCTACCAACAGTGGTGTATTTTAGGGAAGGGTCTCATGTTTGGAGACAAATGCTGAATGCTAGGGAAGAAGTAGAACATGAGATCGTATGGGAATTGAAGAGTGAAACCACTAATATTTGCATGAAAATTGGACTGGATTAAGTGTACTTTATCACGTATTACCTGAAGACTTTCAAATTAATGAAGATCTTCAGGAGATGGCAAAACTGCGGCAAGGGGAAGCATGGGATGTTCAGCTGCTAGATCAAACTTTCAATGAGGAAATTGCAGAACATATAAGGCTAAATGTGCAATATGAAGGAAGTGAGGGATATTGGGATAGGCCATACTGGATGCCAACTCCTTCAGGCAAGTTCAGTGTTAGTCCGATATCCCATACTGGATGCCAACTCCTTCAGGCAAGTTCAGTGTTAGCAGTGCTTGGCAAATATTAAGGCATAGGGCTGATCCTAATTAGGAATTCAAGTTAATGTGGATTAAAAGTTTTCCTTTCAAGATATCCTTGTTCTTGTGAAGATTGTTGAGGCAAAGAATAGCCACTGATGACATATGGAGAAGGCAAGGGCAAATGGTGATGTCTAGGTGTTGGTGTTGTCAGCATTCCCAAGAGGAATCCATTCAGCATATATTTGTCACAAGTCCTACTGCCTCTAAGGTATGGAACTTGTTCATGGGGGCTGCTGGAATTACTGTGCCATTGATTCAATTGAAGCAGGTTATTAGGCATTGGTGGTATGCTCAGTGTTGTCCAGAATTAAAGTCATTATTTCAAGCAGTACCAGCTATCATCACTTGGGAGTTTTGGAAGAGAAGAAATGCAGGTAAACATGGGAGTTTAGTGTCCACAAATAGGGTGATTCATGAGATAAATAGGACATTGTATCAACTGGCAAGGGTGAGGTATGCTTGGATGCCTAATATTCCAATGTTATGGCCATACATGATTCAATAATTTGAAGGATATAAACCTATATTGATCACTACAAGAGTAATGTGGCAGCTTCCTTTTCATGGTTGGTACAAATATAATAATGATGGAGCCTCAAAGGGCAATCCTGGACCTAGCTCCCTAGGCTTTTGTGTGAGGGATGATAAAGGTGATGTGGTATATGCTAGGCAGTAGACCTGGGAGTGACAACTAATGTGGTAGCTGAAGCTAAGGCTATTCTTCAAGGGTTGGAATACTGTGTGGAGCATGATCTTCACCCTGTCATATTAGAAACTGATTCGTTGGTGATGAAGAAGGTGATAGAAGGGGAATGGGATCCTCCTTGTGTAATTGCACAAGATGTGAAGAAAATTATAGAGATGAAGGACAACTTCAATGTGGTTTTCAACATGTGTTCAGAGAAGGCAACTCAGTGGCAGATTTTATAGCTAACATTGAGTTTTTTTTGTAGGTACATTTATGTTTCATTCATTCTCTGAACTGCCTAGTGCAGGGAGGAGGTTGATCAATCTAGAAAAATCTCAATCACCTAAACTTAGGGTTAGGATAGCAAAGAGAAGAACCCCAGACTGATGGCTTCACAGAATTGGACTCTGCACGAACCTGCATGTTTCTTTGTCTCATTCAGTATACTATTAAGGTACTTTCCAATAGTATTAGCATGGTCTCATGCTCATTCTGGGGGTGCTTTGATAGTGTACAGAAAAAATACGATAAGTAGGTGTTGGATGGTATAATTTATCCTACTTCTGATATGTCTAAATGTTAAGGAAAATGCTGAACCTATCATATGGTATTTCTAGAGATTGTTGAATCATTTCTCAGTGGTATTAGCATGCTTTCATGCTCAATCTGAGGATGGTTTAGCAATATTTAGAATGATGTCTACATTAAAGGTTCTAATAGGGAAGGATCTGAGCTTACAAGATCACAAAAAGGCACAGTTTCAAAGCCTGGCATTTGCCTTGCAAAGCCTGCTTAAAGCCAGCTCATTCCTGGCTTTTGCTTTGTAAAGCCGGCCTAAAGCCAGCTCATGCCAGGCTTTTGCCTTGCAAAGCCTGCCTAAAGCCAGCTCAAGCCTGGCTTTTGCCTTGTAAAGCCTGCCTAAAGCCAGGCTCCTCTTCTACACATTTATTTTGATGAGTGAGCACATGATTAATACTTGGACAAAATCAGTTCACTGCATATGGAGATCATATAGTAGCTACACTTGGAGGACTATGTTGGCTTCAACTCTGTGGTGGAGATGTTTAGAATTCATTTTAGCCTATGGACAGTATACCCTGGCGCCTGGTGAGAGCTTGATAGGTGGTGCTTGGTATTTTCCAATGACAATTGGATTCACATACACTGATAGGAGAAGGAAGCATTCAACTTATTATATTGTAATAGCTAGTTCATTGGATTTTAGCTTTTCTATCTTTTTAATAGCTAGTAGCTTCATGTAACTTCTATTTTGGTTAGGACATCTTGTAAGCTTTGGACCCATTTTGGGATTTTATTTATATATTAGCCACTAGGTAAGTGCTGCCGAGTGGTATAGTTGCTTAAAAAAAACCAAATATGGCATTACATGCATGACACTAAATCAAAGAGTTTTACACTTCAAAAGGTAACGAAACACAATAAAAGCCCCATATATTCAATAAATTAAACAAAAAATATGATTTAATACAGCCTTCTCCTAAAAACCCTAAATCAAAGAGGGAAATGAAGATCAATAAGACAAATGATTCAAGAACAGATGAAGGAACTTACACCAGAAATTTAGATGACACAATTGATGATTGCATATGCTGGCAACGATGACGGAGAAGAGAGGCAGATGGAAAAGGTTCGAGATTTTTCAAGCCCTAATCTAATCGGCAAAATGTAAAATGGAGGAAAATATTGGGTTTGGGGTTAAGTGCTATTTTTCTATCTTTTCTTTTCCTATGCGGCACTAATAATAAGGTGAAGTCCTACGTGTAGGAGACTATATTACACATACCCGCAACCTCTAGTCGTAAGTGTTTATTACACAGGGTTTGAATGAGTGTAAGTGTTCACTTAGCAAAATCATAAGTACGGGGACCGGCATGACAAACTGAAACAAGTAGAGGTTCCATTTAGGCTATTTCACCTATATTAACTCTATTTACAACTACAATAGTAGATCCAGTGTAATCCCACAAGTGAGGTCTGGGGAGGATAGTGTATATGCAGACCTTACCCCTACGTTGAGAAGATAGAGATTATTTTCGATAGACCCTAGGCTCAAGAAAAGATGCAAAAAGAAGCAGAACAAGATAACAACATGCAATAAATACAAGATAACATAAAGTAACGTTAACAAGATAACATAAAGTAACGTCAACAAGATAACAAGAAAATCTAAGCAAGAGAAAAGGGAAGTAGGAATTGAAATCTAAAATAGAAAATACATGGCTCATGACTATCTATTACCTCTCTATTCTAATTTTCGACCTCTACACCCTCCTATCAAGGGTCATGTTCTCGATAAACTGAAGCAGCGTCATGTCCTGCCTAATCACCTCCACGCAGTACTTCTTTTGCTTAACTCTACCTCTCATCAGACCCAGCGATTCCAATCTCTCACACCTCCTTACGGGGGCATCTCTGTCCCTCCTCTTCAAATATCTGAACCATCTAAGTCTCGCTTCCCGCATCTTGTCCTCCACGAGAGTCACGCCCACCTTGTCCCGAATATCTTCATTCCTAATCTTCATATTGTGCATCAAGTCTCACGTATACATCCGCATTATGAGTCACATAATTGAATTTGCACATATTTAACTCTATTTATGTTTGTTTTTTCATATGCATATAAAAGTTCGAGTTTAAAACATCAGATTTTATTGAACCGATGAACCATGGTTGGATCCGTTACGAATGTACATACCAAAGGAAAGAGATAACGAAATGTAACACAAATAGAAAGAAACTTGGTGTTCGTTTGGTTTGAGGTATAACATAATATAATCATGGTATAAATTTGGTTAATTGGTTGCTTTATAATTATTTGGTTTGTATGTTGAAACTTGCATCGCTACTATAAGTGATACCTCAATTGGTATATTAGTTTATACCTAATATAACTTGGTATAACAATACATGGATTAAGTTATACATGAATTAAAACTAAAAAGTAAAATCTCTCTTTATGCTTTTCCTCAAAACCATCATCATACCCTTTATATTCTATTTTTAGAATAAAGAACCAAATGTTCGATAAATTTTATTTTTTGCATAACTAATTCTTGCATTATAATTCGTGCATAAATTGTTGCTCAACCGAGCGACTCCTTAGGGGTCATTTGGTATGATTGATAAGCAAAAATAATTTTTGGATAAAAATTTTGTAATACTTTGTTTGGTTACTAATCCTGGGATAAATTATCTCATAATTAAAATAGTACTGAGATAATTTATACTTACTAGAAGGTGAAATAATAATCCCAAGATAAAATAGTAAAATTGATAATCTCAAAATTAAAACAACACATTAAACAATAAGACCACCCTTAGAGTTGGTGATAAGCATGTAGAAGTTGAGTTCCATCTAAAAGGAGGGCCCAGGGGCCCTTGTCAGTTCATATAATATAATCTGTCTTTCTCTTGGAACTCTAGTGCTCTAAACTTTAAACTAACTTCCAAGCTGCTTTTTATTTATTTATTTCATCCCATAAATTTATTATCTATGTCTTTCCCTATCAATGCTCTCCAAGATAATATCATTGGATGGAACAAACAATAAACTTAAACAAATGGGGGAAAGTTTTACTGAAATTTTGGTCAAAAGACCCATCATTTCCTGTTTGAGATTCATTGTAGTGCTGTGTGATTGGGAAATAAAAAGACGTAATCTAAAGCTGCTTTTCATCCCAAAGAATTTCGATGCATCTCCTTCACTCTGCTCAGTTCTCCACATACAAATCATCAACAGTTTGAAACTTTTTCATTTTTTCTTTTTTTTTGTAAGAGGAACTTTGATTTCTTACCATCCTTGATGGAGAACATCTTGGTAAGGAACACTTTACACCTTTAATAGACCTACACGTGAGTGCGAATCTAGATTAATCGAGCTTGTGACTTTTGAATATCATATGTTTTAGAAATAGAGAAGCAGTGCCAGCCACTACAACTTCCACTTCTCACAACTGGGGTAATATGGAAAAGAAACTTTGAGCAGAAATGAAGGAAGAAATTCCATTAAATGAGAGTGGTAGAGAAAGTCTGTAAAGACACTAAAGACCCAAATCAAATATCAATATATCATTAGGCTTAAGAACAACAATAACAACTACTCCTCAATCGCAAACTATTTATGGTCAGTTGACTTTGAACTATGGACATAATCAAGAATATACCCAGAAAGGCAGAAAGACTAGAAGATATAGACATTCTTCTTTCAATTAGATCTGGAGGTACACATTAACAGAATTTGGGTGTCATTATTTTCTCTTGTAAAATGGGGAGGTAGGTACTAAAGAGTTTATAATACAATCTAATAATTCATCTTCTCTACAACATCAGAGAAGAAAAAGAAAGGTCTGAGGTTTAAACAGGCCTACCCCTTTTGTGTGTAGCAGTTGAAACATCCATTGATTTGTTGAAATTACCTGAAAGATGTGCATATAAGTCAACCACTCTCCTGATGTTGTTGTTGAGTTCTCTAATTAAACCAACATTCCTGCTCAAATTGTCAGGGATTTTGGACTCATGGTTCTGATTAATCTCATTGATTAGCAGCCTGTTCTGGTCCAATATGTTCTGAACTTGAACAAAGCTCTTTTGAAATGTCTTCATAACTTTGCCATCTATCTCTCTACCACCATTAACAGTATAATCCCCTTCCATTTTTCTCTATCTCTATGTTGGTGAAGAAAGAATCTGGCCCCTTTCAAGGAAAAGGAAAACACAAGACAATAATGAGGAAAAGTAGTAGAGACAATTTCTTGGAATTTTTATAATACTTGTAAGGAAACCCCATCATATCTTCCCATGTGTACTTGACTCTATGGTATTAAGGAAAAGGCAGAGACAAAACTAGATAAGGTATTTTGAATTGTTTAAAGACAAATTGTACATGGGAGAGAGACAACATCTGAACTTGAAATTATGACTTGCCCCTCCTCATAGGTTGTTTCTTTGATCATGTAACAAACATGGAGTATACAATTATTATTTTATTATTTAGCTATTATTGTATGAGGTATATAATGAGATGTCAAGAAAAGCAGATCCCATTTCCATAAAGAGAACCTTTTAGTGTGTATTCTATACCTAGCTAAATGACCTGAAGCAGAGGCGTGTCCCGAATTTTAGGAGAATGGGTGCACTATTAATTGATTTGATTCTCTAAAATGTTGCCATGACAATAGCTTAATAAGTAAACTACAATCAATATTATTATTACAAAAACGCATCATTTCGTTGACAAAAATCAATGATAGTTTTCCTACCTTGGAGAATAATATCATAGCGATATAGTTACAAACCTTTTCCATTCTCTTTTAGAATATCAATGATAGTTTCCCTACCCTGGAGAATAATATCATAGCGATATAGTTACAAATACTTAGCTCTATATAATAAAACTAAAAAGCTATTCGAAAAGAGAATGGAAAATGAAGAAAGAGAATTTGAAATTGAAAAAATTCAAACTAACTTATAGCCTGTTTGGACATAAGAATTTTTTTATTTTTTTCAAAATTTTTTTACTTTTTTTCGAAATCAGTGTTTGGTTATAAAATTTCCAATTTTCACTTGAAGATAAATTTTGGAATTTTTATAAAATTTAAAAACCTCCAAAAAGCTGTTTTTCAAAATTTTCACTCAGATCACTCACAAAAATTCATAAACAACCCAAAATTATATTTATATCCAAACACAATTCTAATTTTCAAATATCATTTTCACTTGAAAAACAATTTTACCTTTTTTTAGAATTTTACAATTCTTTATGTCCAAACGCCCACTTAGACCTTTTTAGAGTTTTGAAACTCAAAGATTGAACCAAAAACAAAAGAAGAAAAAGGAAATGAAAGCCAACAAAAAAAAATATAAGAATTTAATCCAAAGATAGGTAAAAGAGTGAACCAAAATAGAGAAAGAACAAAGGGAAGAAAAAAGAAACAGAAAAGAAAGATACGGTGTGGGATTTCAACTGAAACAAAAAAGAAAGATCAGGCATAGAAAAGAAAGAAGAAAAAAAAGAAATAGAAAACTGGCTTTCAATTAAAAGATAGGGCGTGGATTTGATCTAGGGTCAATCAAAGGAGCATTATGCAACCACTACACTAAATGCTCTTTTGAGCATGGGTTCCCACATAAAAATATAAGTATTTTACCAGAAAAATACCAGTGCAATACACAAATTAGGGGTGCATGGGTTCACGTACCCCATACTCCTCTACGTGAATACCCCTGCAGTCATACTTTAGGTTCAAATATATCTCTCATTTAAATGGATGGACACGTGTCATCGTCCTGTTGGCCAATTCTAAATAGCTCATAGTTAATTAAAAAGACATATTATTTGATACTCGAAAAGCAATTTTCTAAAGCAATTTTATTTTTTGTAAAAACTGAAAAAAACGGCAATATTGTTTTTCCAGTTTTTACAAAAAAACTGTTTTAAAAAAAAATGAAAAATATTTTCTAAAATAATATTTTTATAAAAACTGAAAAATAAAACTGAAAAGTAATTTTCTAAAGCAATTAAAAACTGAATTATTTTTTTACTAAAATCGGAAAACACGACAATATTTGTTTTTCTAGTTTTTACAAAAAACTATTTTTAAAAAAACTGAAAAATAATTTCTAAAGCAATTTGTTTTGTAAAAACTAAAAAAAAAACTACAAAGCAATTTTCTAAAGCAATATTTTTATAAAAACTGAAAAACAAATATTTTCTTTTTTTCAGTTTTTATTTAAAATTTTTTATGTTTTTTTTCAGTTTTTAATTGCTTTAGAAAATTATTTTTCTGTTTTTTTTAGTTTTTACAAAAATATTATTTTAGAAAATATTTTTCAGTTTTTTTTAAAACAGTTTTTTTGTAAAAACTGGAAAACAAATATTGCCGTTTTTTTTCGTTTTTACAAAAAACAAAATTGCTTTAGAAAATTACTTTTCGGGTACCAAATAATATATCTTTTTAATTAATTATGAGCTATTTAGAATTGGCCAATAGGACGATGACACGTGTCCATCCATTTAAATGAGGGGTATATTTGAATCCAAAGTATGACTGCAGGGGTATAGATAACTCAATAGTATAACGAGTAATATTCTTAAACCATTTTAAAAAGCATGCCGGAATTTATATCTCTATTCACAATCAAAATTTAAAAGGGGGAGAACTACTGGACTCGCAACTAACCAATGATATAATCGACGTGCGACACAAACTGTTTCAGACAATGTTATTAGAAAAAAGATGACCACTCAACTTTTTGCAGTTCAGATTTGGCTGTAATTCTCATATGAGTAGCCTTTCAAGACACCATTTGCCAATCAAGAAATGCACAGAAATTTATCATCACCCGGGGGGGG